TTCCACATAAAGAGTGTTGTTTTACCAGTGGCTGGTTAGCGATTAAGTTTCCTCCTGTTACTGATTGGAAAACTCAGAGTTTATGCTGCAAAACCTTGAGATTCTGCATTTCTAATGAGAGGTGCAGATTAAAACTCCTTGTAAAACATGCTTCAAATAAGTCACTGTTTCTAGCATACTGTTTGCTAAAGAAAAAAAAGAGCAGAAAAAAAGTTTAGCCTGTAGCTGATGTTTGCTTTAAAGTTTCCAGTCATAGTTTAATTCTCAGAGAACAGATGACAAGGATGGGATTATTACTGAAGTGTCATCTCGTCTTCTTTTATCTTAACATTTCTGTCTCTCTGTTGCTGCTTCCCTCTCCTTTTGTCTCGGCTGGGGCAGCAAGGGCTCGAAGTGAGTGGTTCCGTCAGACTGCATGCTGCATGTGACGTCTGTGTCCCTCTTTACAGTGTTGCCTCTAACAAGTACCCTGTTTTCAGGGAACATCCTTCATGTTTTTGTCCGGTAGATGTCATGATAACATACGCAATTCTATTTGCTGGTGTCTTTCTTTTTGGCATCAATCATGGCAAATGTGTCAACAGGAGCAGGAGGTGTGGTCATGATATGTGTTGATGAGGAGCTCTGCGAGTTCAGCTATTCTGTTGCAGTGAGAAAACACCCAGACTGCAGAGCCTGCGCTATAATTGGGCGAAGAGGCTACTGCTCTATATTTAGCCGAGATGCTGCAATGTCTGGATGCTCCCACTTTCCCTGCGAGTTGCCTTCGTATGACATGTGCTGATGACTAACGACTTTCCAGTCTGTTTTGCATGAAAACACATATTTTAAAAAAGGTAAAAACCCAGGATGTCACAGCGTAGAACTTTGAACGACAGAGAAGCACAACAGATCCACCTTCGAGCGGCCGCGTTGTGAAGTAGGTTACCAGATGTAGGTCAGGGGATAAAAAGGAACAAGATGTGATTTTTGTTTAATGGGGGGAGCTGCTCAGGCAGATTCAGGGGGGAAAACGGTTGTTATTCTGAAAGGCTTCGGTTGAAGGCCGTTGAAGTGGCAGGGTAATGAACAGGCTCAAACCAAGCTTTGCGTAGATGCTTAAGGATACCAGAGCATTCCTGAGGACGAGGGTGGCAACCGACACCCACACTCGTGCTAGGCAACACACATTCTTCAGACCAGTGGGAGTACTTTTTAATCTTGTGCAAGAGCCCAGCTTGCTCCAGAGGTAAAAAAAAAAAAAAAAAAAACCCAGAAAAAACAAACATAACCTTTAATAAGTTCCATGACTTGATTTTCTGCGAGCAACCAAGTTTCTCCACTCAGCTCTCAGTATTCCGCTGCATAGCGTCTAACCACCTCCGTGTGACATGTTAGATTAAGATGCTGTCGGAGAGGAAGATGGAGCTGGAGCGCCGGGTGACCGCCATGATCGAGGAGAACGAGCTGCTGCAGAACACCGTGGACGACCTGCGGGAGCGGACGCTGGTGCTTGAGAAGCAGTGCCACGAGAAGGACCTTCAGGTGAATCCAGGCCAAAGGGGTCTTAATAGCTATTTAATCTAATTCAATACTTAGGACCAAACATTTTGAATTTCACAAGATTTTGTTTGCTTTTCCACAAACTTTTCTGCTCCTGTCTTGTTGGATGTTTTTTGTCAGCTGTGTTTCTGGTGTAGTCAAGTTCAATAGTAACCGTTTCAGGACTTTTTACTGGGAAATAAATCAAGTGCTTGCAAAGAGGCAGTCAGTTTTCAGTGTGACTGAGTTTTTTTGAATCCACAATTTCAACATTTTTGTCTTGTTGATCTCATTCGTTATTGATTTCATCACCGAGCCCTTTCCATCTTAAGGCATTGCCACACAGCAAAGGTCTCAGGGGGCCACGCTACTGATGTGACACAGACCAGTGGAAACGCTCACTGTTATCTGGAAAGTTCCTTTTCCAGATGTTAAAACAAGCTGTGCAAAATAAGAAAACAACTTTAGTTATAGTTTTCTTGGAGGGAAGGGACCTCTGTGCTGCCTGTTTTAACACAAGGCATGGAGTAAAGTAAGAGAGGAAATTGTGGATAAAACAGGGAAGGTTACATCACCACAAAACAAAAACAAAAATCAATAATTATCAATTGACTGAAAAGCTTGTCTTGTGATATGTTTTTCAGCCATATACCTATGTTGGTGGTAACCATGGTGATGTCAATAGCACCTTTCTGCTCTCCTAATTCACATAAAATTACTATCCTCAAGCTAACAACAAGCTAACTGAAATGAAGCTGCCAGACTATTTTGCGGCAGAACAGATCAGAGTTTTAGTCATTATTTTTTATCAACTGTTATTTTCTTTACATTTCACTTCACCTGATCTCTAGTCACAGTAATATAGACTCAGGCTGAAGGACACCACTAAGACATGTAAAGTTTGGGAAACGTCTCCATCATAGACATGGTTGTATAAATCAACTTTTTTTGCATGTCACTGAGAGGTTTTTTTTTTTTTTTCAGATAGATGATAGCAACAAATTAAAAGATTTAACTGCTCTGTTATGTCTAGTTGCGACAAAGCCAGCTGGAGCTTCAGGAGGTCCAGGTGTCCCACAGACAACTGACGGCTAAGTTGGCCGAGCTAACTGAGGAGCACAGTCTTCAAACTCTCAGCCCCCACCCGTCCAACCTGCTGTGTGAGATAGAGCAGAGCATGGAGCAGGAGGAGCAGGAGCAGGAGAGGGAACAGGTAGCCCTGACTCGTCCGCTCTCCGTGTAGCATTGCTAGCTGAAAGCATGGACCGCTAACATCTAAACGCTTCCCGTTATAGCTGCGTCTACAACTCTGGGAGGCCTATTGCGAAGTCCGCTCACTCTGTTCCCATCTCCGGGGAAACGATGTCACAGACTCGGCACTCTCCACCGACTCCTCCATGGATGAGTCCTCGGAGACGTCCTCGGTCAAGGATGTGCCTACAGGGAGCCTTCACACCAGCCTATTAGAGCTACGGAGGTTAACACAGAATCTGCTGGATGGGAATGAGTCTACGGTAAAGGATCAGAGCTGGCTTTCTGGCTCAAATTCTAAATTCATTTATTTATTTTTTTTAAATTACATTTTGAGTTGAGTGAGGTTCTTTTAAGAGGCACCAAGTAGTAAATATTTTTTCCGCAGTACATAACTCTTTGCCATTCAGGCTAAACCTAACTGCTAGGATATCTGGGAAAACAAATGCATTTTTATGCATTTACTTATTACTAAAGACTCCAACCAAAGTGGATATTTGAGAAAACTGCATTGGTGGGAAAACGAAGATTAAAGGTCCAGCGCATTAGCCTGCAACAAATACTTGCTGTGACATGATTCCTAATCAACGCTGTCTTGTGTTTTATTAACTCTATATTCTCATATGCTAGTTAAAAGTAATTCAATCTACATGTTTCCACACAAATTAACCTCCTGGCGCCATGTTTAATTCCTTACACGAATCATGGTTGTTTTGAAGCAATTTTATTGCAGCAGGATACGTTTTAACTTTGCACTACACTGCCCCCTGTGGGTTTGGCATGTTTAAAACAATGTCAGGGGCGGATTTGTATGGATCCATGTGCAGAAACTTTTCTGAAACTGACCCTGTGCAATATTTTTCTTGAAAAAAGAAGCACTATTGACATCTGAGCGGTGACTGTACACCTCCCCGGGCTGTGACTTGTGAAGTGGTTTTTTGTTTCCTTCTGGAAGGGTTCACGGCGCAGTGATGAGGAGGCACTAGAGGAGCAGGTGAGGAAGATGGGAGAAGAACTGCAGGAGGTCAGAGAGCTTTATGAATCGGAGCAGCACAAAACACGCGGCAATGAAGAGGAGCTGCTACAGATGCACAATCAGGTATTCTGATGCTCAGCTTAAAGGAGCAGTGTCAAAAACATTGTTGCATTACTCCCTTATCTAAAACATTCCAGTAGTGTTGCATCGATTCTTTGAGAAATCCTTTGATCTCCATAGCAACCATTCAGCTGTACAAAACTCTTGGGTGGATCTAACTCCGCCTTCGAGACACAGCTCCTCCTCATAGCTGAGGTTTCCAAATTTCCTAGCTGGGTGACTCCCCCATTCAGCTCCTTTAGACTAGCCAGCAGCAATTAGTAAACACCTGGTAGAACTGTGCATGTGGCTGAGCTCATTATCAGCTACTTCTCAGTTAAACTCTGGTAAAAATGTTCTTAAAGGGTGAATAGAGGAGCCATGATGACTTCCTGAAGGTGGAGTGTCAGGAAGAGCAGGACTTTTTAAAGCGACAGAGTCCCAATTACGTTACAAAGTTTATTTTCTTTTTTCATATTTGATATATATGGCATTTTCACAACAACTGAAGTTAAGAAAGTTACTTGATTGTGCTATAAAATACCACTGGCTGGAAAATACACAATACTGCCCCTTTAACACTCTCACTCACTCTGTTGGACTTTATTCAGAGTTTTGTGAGGTAGATCGTATGCGGAAGTTTCTTCTAAAAGAATGTCTGTCTTAGGTCCAAGAATAGCAGAGTTGATGGGGAAACTCATGAAGGGTTGTTATGTAGGACATGACTCCAACCTGCCTTCACTCCACCAGGGCAACCGACTTTCTTCTCTTTGCTCGAAAACAAGTCCTGCAACCATCCGTCTGACGTCAGCTGCACTTTAACTGGGTCAAATCATTATTTCACACATGAGCAGCATTCTGACTAAACCGTGCCAGCCGAGCTGTTTGGAATGCACAAAGTGTTCATCTCTCAACTGCCCTCTGTTCCTCCTGTGCGACCTCCAGATGGCGCTGCTCTCCATTGAGATCTGCTCTCTGAGGGAAGAGAACGAGCGAATGAGGGCGATGGCGGACGTCCGAGAACCCAGTGAGCAGCTCCAGAGCGCCATAAGAGACCGAGACGACGCCATCGCCAAGTAGGGTCAAACACAGAACAGCACACTGACACAAACAATACAGATATAACTAAATGTACTGTAAGAGGTTTATGTTGACTCGTTATAAGCGGGGTGGCCATCGTAAAGTTAGGCAACAAAAAAGAAACGGCAGCAATATTTAGGTTTATTTAACCTGTCAGAGAAAGAAATGTGGATGTTTATTTTTCAAAGTCATGTTTTCACCTCGTTATTCATACATTACAATTATCAGAGTTCCAATTAAATATTTCATTCACAATGTAAATATTTAGTTCTCAATTCTATATTAAATATTTAGTTTTAATTTAGTTTTAGTTAGCTCTAAATTAACTAACATTTAGCTGCAAACTAAATATTTATATTGCTGATGCTGAGCCGGAAGGTTCTCCTGTAGCAGTCTGCATTACAGCTGCTCTGAAGAAGCCTCTGACTGAAAACCCTCTGTTTTACAACAGTGTCATGAAGACATTATTCATAATGTTCTCTGGTTAAACTGCGCACTACTTTGTGTTGGTCGATCACATGTTGTCTTGAGACTTGATGTAAAAATGGGTTTTTAATCTTCACTTTCATATTTTATCTACATGAAGTATAGTAGAGATTGGCAACAGTTTCAAACAAAGCTTATGCTTTTGTTTATGCAAATGTAAAAATACTGAAGCCTGTCTTCTTACTCAATATGTCTGTATTTGTATGTGTGTGTGTGTGTGTCTGCATTGCAGGAAGAAAGCTGTGGAAATGGAGCTGGCTAAATGTAAAATAGACATCATGTCTCTGAACAGCCAGCTTCTGGACGCCATCCAGCAGAAACTCAACCTGTCACAGCAGCTGGAGGCTTGGCAGGTGGGTCAGAGAGGACAGGAAGTAAACAAAGGAGCAGCTTTTTAAAAATGAAAAAAAAAAAAAAATTGTATGTGGAGTGCAACTCAACCTGTTCAGGCAGCTTTTTTAAGTGCATTTATTCACCATTTGAGTGAACTGAGACTAACTTTCCTCATCACGATTCCCTTCCTCTAGCTAGTCTCGTATTTGTGACTAAAAGCTGCAGTACATAACTTTTATAAAAAAGTTTTTTTTTCTTACATATTTGTTAAAATCATCATTATGTCGTGACAGTAATGTATAATAATCTGTGAAAAAGCTCCTCTACCTCCTCCCAGTGCTACCAGTGCTAACTGCATTAATACACCAGTCAGAAACAACCAACATACCCTGCTATGAATGCTAATGCTAGTTAGCATAGCAACTGATCACGGCGGATAAACAGTTTTCCTGTAACTGCAAGTTGTTTCTCCGCCGTTAGGACATTCTCAGTGCGTACACTAGAGTGATTGACAGCACTAAAACCTTCCTCCTGGCACTGATTGGTTGCTTTTTTTCCCCCAAAAAATATATTCATTAATTTTTGTTTTTAAGAACAAAACATAACACAAAACAAAAGTGCAGCAGTGCAGTCCAAAGGAGAAACCAAAGAAAGTTACATGTACGGTTACATATTTTCATCATTTTGTAGTCCAAGTCTAAGATTTAATAAAGACAAGATGGTGGACACGTGTCCTTGACCATAGTCCAAGAAGGGTTTCCGAATGCATCCAGAACCAGGAACATCAGAAAGTCCAAGTGGGATGTCTTCCAAAATAATCTTCCTGCACCCAAAAACAGTTTTGGGAATCCATTGCAGTAAAATAATTTGTTGCTTCTGACCGGGAGCGGTGCAGTTCGTCAGCAGTGGTCCTCTAAAGAGGTGGAGGAGCTTGATGTTTTGTCTCCACATTGTGGCAGTTTTAACAAATATGTGAAGAACATATCTTTGCTAAACAGTTACGTAGTGTAGCTTTAAATCCGCTAACAGAATCTTTGCCCTAATATTTACCTGCTGTGTGTGACGGCGCCCAGTAGGGGGAGATGTCACCGTCTCCCTCCCCGCCCTCTCTCCTCTGTAACCAGCTGCTCTTTCCTCTCTTCTCCTCGCCCACAGTTCGCCTCCTCAGGGCTCTTTACTGTTTGGCTCTTGTGGTTTCTGATCTAGTGGCCTTTCTCAACTTCAGTACCACCCTCTCTCCCCCCGTGGTACCTCCCCCCCTTCTGCCTTAGAGGTGAGCCCTGAGCCGCTGCCTCACCGCTCTAACCTGACCATGGCACGCCGAGTCATTTCATGCTGAAGATCTGCTCATTCAGGCTGCTAGAACCCATCCACGTCTTCATCATCCCTGCTCCACCTTCTCTCTCTCTCTCTCTCCACTGGTCACAATTTAGTGACCGATGGTTTTATATTGGTGCCGCTTCACATGCAAGCTGGCACTGAATGTGTTTCTGCTGTGGGAAAATGTGTTTTTATGTGCTGAGTGTTTCTTTTTAATGGTCTTCCAGCCTGTCAGAGCCCTCTGGTGGCTGAAAGCCAAACATAAAGAGGAGCCTGTAGTTCATAATGACTAGACTTATTTTTAAACATGTAAAACAAGAAAGCCTATAAATATAAATAGTAGTGCTGCAACTAAACATTACATTATTTATAGATTATTCTGATTAATTGGTTAAAAAATTGTCACATTGTGTTATGGTACTTTTATACAATATTACAACTACATTAAAAGATGAAAATGAACAAATAATTCAAATAGAAATGTAAACATTTCATTAATATGCAGTAACATAACATTCCTTTAGTGAACATTTGATCATTTGTAGCAAACGACGCATCTACAGGGGAAAAAAAATCCTTCCAACATCAACATGTGAAAAGCTCAAGCATTTCTGCTTGACTTATCCATACAGTATGAGGCTGATCTGTTGATTATTTTTAGATTAACTGACCAATAATTGGATAGTAAAAGATGCCGGATAGGAGATTTTTTTTCTACACAATTTGAACCAGGTGGAGCTGAAACTATAGCACTTGAGGAGTTTTGGGTACAGCGTACTTAAAGTCAAAGGGTTCTATCTTAAATGCAAAATGTTCTTATTTTTGTACAGTTTTGGATGAATTGCTCTGAATCTGTCCTTTCAGCACATCGCCTTCATTTGAGTCTGTACTCCAGCTAACAATTAGTTACTAAATTATTAGACAATTATTTGAATGATTAGTCCTAATAAATAGTTTAATTTTTAAGCACATATTGAGAGTTTGTGAAAAATATGTTTGTGCACACTCCTCAATGTGCAGCAGGTGAAAATGAACTTGTCTTCAGTCAAATGTTGAAAAGGATACGAACCGTCCATGTTAGCATGTTTCGTTACGTCCAAACAGGGATTCCTAGACGTTTCAGCTAAATTTGTGGTCCAACTGTGTTTTTCGCATCACACAAACCACAACCCAATATTGCCACTGCTGCAAACCATGAAGAAGACACCAGGAAGTGGTGGGAGGGTGACGGGTTTTTAATTGACTTAATACGTGAACACACTTAGTCATGTGAGTTTCTTATGTAATGGAAACACAGCAACTGCGACATTATGTCTTTTTGACATTAACAGAATACCAACAAAGTTTTGCGCACATTTGTAACAAAGACGCAGCTAATGGCCCCAAACTACGACAGAATAGGAGTTGCAACAATCTATCCAAACTCACCCTGGAGGAACTGCTGTGGTGGGACATCGAGACTCCGTGAACTTAACAACACAGGACACAACATTTGAGCTAAATTTCTTCCACAATGATGGAAGAAAACGGATAAATTCATTGAATAGAACTGCTTTTAGTAGTCGCTGTTAAACGGTATTAGCTTTTGCTTCAATTATACTCGTTTTTAACTTAACCTATGAGTTACATCAGACCTCAACACTGTGCATTTTGACTTGTTTCAGTACTTCTTGAATTATTACACCAGCAGTTAACTTGACAGAGTCCAGTCGTTTCACATCTCAACCCCCCCCCCACCTCACCCACAGGCTGGCGCTATCTGTGTTTATGTTTCTCTGCGGTTCCCTTCTCTCTCGTTCACTTTGCTGTCTCTGGCCGTAGGACGACATGCACAGAGTGATTGACCAGCAGCTGATGGACAAGCACCAGGACGAGTGGCGCTCGGTCCACGCCGCGCTGTCCGGATCGTCGAGGAGTCAGTCCCCGAGGCGAGCTCGCCGCGTCTCTGAGCGGGACAAGAGACTTTTCTCTTTTTTCAAAAAGAACTGAGCCCTGTTGGAACTGGCCCTTAAAGCACAGCAGAGACACGCAGAGACAGACGCAGGTGAGGGAGAGTATGGGTAAACAGCTCAGCCAAAGACAGGCGGTGGTAGACAGGCGCTGATGTTGGGGGGGAGGTTCAGATCATTTTGCACTTTATCTGTCCCATTGCTCTGCTCCTTACTGAAAGGAAATGAATGAAGGTAAAAAAAAAATAAAATAAAAATCAACACTTCCCCAGAGGCTTTGGCTCAGCAATCCACCCTAAAGAGCGCTTTGCTTTCTGGTCTTACAGAACAGGACAGGGTCACAAAGTTTACCTCCACAGAGGAAGGTTTCCTTGTAGTGCCTACAAAACCCACTGCCAACTCTGTAGAGGTGGAAAACAATGTTGAAGCGTTTCAGCATGTACAGTATGCATCTCAGTTATCAGGCCGAGGAGTCTGGGGAAAGGCAGAAGTTTGAAGTATTAAGGTAGAGCTCAGAGTGTAAAGAGAAGTTCTGGCAGTGACAGAGTAAACACAACGATGGGGAGTCTCTCAGGTTTATTCATGTGTCAGGGGAAAAAAAAACGGACGTGAACGTGGCGTGTTCAACACAACTGGAAAAGGTCAATTCTCAAATGAAAGAATATAAATGGAGGGGATGACTAACGGGCACTGTGATGGACTGGTGACCACTGGAGATAGGCACCAGCACTCCTCCTGACCCCACTGGGGACAAGAGTGTATGATAATGGATGGGTGGACAGACTTATGGGCATTTTAAAAATGCAGTTCTAAAAATGTAAAAAAAAAAAAAAATGAAAAAAATTAAAGAAACCTCTGACCACCTTAGCTATTGTAGCTAGTTGCTTTGTTTGCAGTAGATCTCAGACTGAGTTTCTAAGTGCAACAACTTTTTATTTATTCATTTTTTTTGAACAAACAGCCAGCCTGATAAAAACCAGCCCCTTCTCCTACGTTATTTGCTAAGTACAGAAGGTCTGTTGAGAAACGCTTCCTGGACTGTGTTGAGGTTTTATATTTTGCAATTATTGGTTTACAATTGGTTTTTACAATTATTGTTTAATTTCTAAGGTTGCACTCTTGCGTCAGATAATCTAAATCAATGTTGGGGAATAATTAAAACTTAAGATTTACAACATCTTGATTAGCGTTCATAGCCGGGGCTGAACCCAGATGTTACACCAAGAACTGTAGCTAAAATTCTAGCATTTCCGTGGTGGACATACAGCGTAGTAGTAATAACATATTCACAAAATGTAAACAATATGTTGTGGCAAGACGTCTGTCAGTCATTATGAACCATGTGAGACATGACGTGAACAAGGTTGTGAGAAGTTAGCCCTTTGGAGAGACTGGATTTCCTCCTGACTGTTTGGCGCCAGTTTTGTTGAAAATTTCACAAATTGTAATACATTACTTTTAATTTGTGTTTTAACAATTTTATTGTAAACACCAGGGAGTACTTAGCCACACTAGTCCATCTAAACCAGTCAACAGCCCAAAGGGAACGTGAAGCCAGCCAGCCAGCCTCCTGGTGAAATTCTCCGGCCTGTTATAATTTCTTTGGGAACATAAATAATTTGTTTTATTTTAATTTCTTAGTTCTTTTGTATTTAAAAAAACATTCTAATGAATTTCCGTCCTTTGTTTAAGAATTTATCAACATGGCGTTGAAATATTCAGCTTAAATAGGATAGGATTGGGTTGAAGCAACAGAAGGAAAACTAAATTAAAAAAAGAACTTTTGAGTTTGTGGGATGTTGTCACGACCTCAAGAGACTCTCCATCCTCGACCCTGACAGATGAATAAACCTTTGTGGGGGTGGAAGAACTCCTTAAATCTATCTTAGTGGTATTGTTTTCCTACTGCTCACATCATGGACATCATTTGAAGAAAAAGCACTGCTGAGTGTTGTCTCCGTGATGTCAGTCATCTTCCTAGTTGACCAAATTTCTTGTTTACATCAGCTTGAGAAGGGGTTAGGATTTATTATATGAACAATAACTATGAATCCCACCAGTTAAAAGCATGTCAGTGTACCACAGCTGTCAGCATTCAACGTGACCGTTTGCATTCACTCCTACTGGAGATGGTCTACCTCCATATTTCTCGTTTCAATATTTCACAGGCACTTTGATTTCTTAGCTTGCGGGCTTCCATACTTGGGGGGCATTTCTGACTCCACTGGCGAAACACAACGAGGTGAGCTCAGATCTTTGAGCGTGGATGATTTTCTGTGTGGCACATTAATGTCTCATGTCTGTGTGTGTTTGAGCTCATGTTTAATGAAGCTGTGCAAACCTATGCAGGTGTCTTCACGTCATCTCAGCTGGTTGTTGGGAAGGATCAACCCAAAGAATGATTTTTTTATAAAAATGACAAATAGGTTTGGATGATATATTTATAAGAAAAAGCATACTTTTTGACAGAAAATCTTTTTGTAGAAAGACATATCTGTACAATGTTTTTGTCGACTGTTTTTATGTCTTGTGAACTGAAACTCCTTCGATGGAACAAAGTATCTTTTGGTTTCTTTTTCTTTCCTCTTTTGTTGTTTGGTCTCACACAGTGAGAGAAATTTCATAAATTCAAATTATTTATTCAACTTCTTTATCTATATGATGCAATTTACTGGACCTGCACACAAAATTCTAAAATGTCTGCACATTTAAATGATCTATAAGAAAATAAATAGATTTATATATTATTCTATTGTTTGTTTTTTTTACAGAAGTGTTTAACTACCCAAACTAGTGAATAAATACAGGAGCAGCATCCCACTAAAAGAAGAAACCTTCTTGTTATAATGTTTTATGAGTTTCATATTTCATTATAACGATACCGTTCCTGTATTTCTTTATTTCCTTGTTCTGGCAGTTAAATGCTTCTGCATGTAAACAAATGTTTAGCAAGATTTATCTTAGCTTAATTTGTCTCATTTTAACAAATACTGGAATTTAGAAAGGGGTGTACGCAGCTAGCTAAAGTTTATATTTTAGCATCACTGTGAATGTTACCACCCACATTCAAATCTATCAAGCTACAGTGCTTTGATGCTTCAGGGATAGAGCCTAACTAGCTGTGTCCCTGGTTTTAGAGGTAAGATAGCCTAGCTTATTTAAACACAAAGCTAGCTAGCATGAATAAACAGCCCTAAAAGTCAAGTATGCTAATGTATGGGCCTTGTGATTTTCAGGTAATCTGTTATTGGTAATGACTTAAAATGAAAAGAACTGGGACTGAGGTTCTGTTAAAAATGTACGAGCAGCTAATATCTTGACTGCACTACATAATTATCTTCATCTGGCATAAATTGAGACCAGCTAATCGTAGAGCCTGAAGCTAACGGCTAGTCTGAGAAGAGCCAAGCCCAAAGGTAACTTGTACCTCTGTGCGTCTCTCCATTCAATTACAAGAAATTTAAAGTGACTTTGGTCATATTTTTTATGAACCTGTCACAACTGCATTGGATGGTTTAAGTCTTTATAGGGAAATGGAGGTGGAGGCTGTGCAACACTAACTGTCTTCCTCTGTGAAATATACTGAGAATGGAACATGTTAAGTATTTATACACACCTACCTAATAGAAAATTAAGGGATACATGTTAAAATGGTGTACACTATAACCTCTGTGTTTGTTTTTATATATCAGAGTTATACTGACCGGAAACATTTCCATGTTTCACTCTGAGTAGTCAGGAAGATCTTTAGCGCTGCATCACTTCCTACCTCCATAATAGATTTTTTTTTGTAAATAAGCATCCAAGCCATACATGACAATGATTAATAGACTCAAATGATAAAATCTGCATAAACCTCAATGATGTTTTTTTTTTTTTAAGTAAAATTATTTTTAAGATGTCAGAATTTCACTTTAATCTTGGCTCTTCTTGGCTGCCTCCAGGATCAGCTGGATGTTTTAGTAAATGAAGACACAGAAAGTCTTATGTACTGTATGCAAGAATTAAGGTAAAATATTAACAAATTAAAAACATTTGACATAACTTCAACAATCGACAGTCCCTGTAAGAGCCATTTCAAGAGACAACAGTTTTGAAAATGAACCAGTAGGTTATTTCCAGGTTTTAGTCAGACTAGTGAATAATCACTTTTAGTGTAAACATTTACTTACTTAAGATAGTCTTGATAAGAGTTATTTTTATCAATATTGTCCTGATATAACAGTTTACTCCATAAATTCTCTTTAAGGTGAAGCAAAAACGACACAAACAACCCAATTAAAAAAAAAAAAAAGTAACCTCAAGCATCAGTTTATAACATAATACTGGCCAGCAGAGATGATCACAGTCAGTGTTTTTATGTTACCAATAATCACATTAGCCAACATATTGGAGTCAGTACTGGAACTAAACTTCAGTTTCTTTGTTTTGTTTTTTTATGTCACATCTTACAGGAAAAAAGAAGAGAAAAAAATGTTATGTTTGATTCTGTTGACTTTATTTTGATGCAAATGCTGTCTGTTTTTTTCTGGTTGAATTTGTCTCTGACACTGCAGCCTGAATGAATTCTTTCCCTCACATCTGAAAACTTGTCCAGTGTCTCTGTGTGTGTCTGGCTGGACGTCCTGATGCCGGCCACCATAGGTTGAAGTGTGTGTTGCAGTGGGAAACACAGAGATCCCATTGAGTGTGTTTGTGTTACTCATCTCTCCCTCGGTCCGACGTTGTTTTCGAATTTAGTGCTGTCGGTGGGCTCATTGTACTCCATGTGAGTGCTTCCATTCACCACTGACTGACGGCACTGTTTTAGTTACAAAATACTTCAAACTATTCAAAAATATTTATCATGCAATTTTCTTAGCATCCTTGTTTTTGTACGAATAAACTCTTTACAATCCTCGTGTCTCAGTCTCTTCGAGTTGGAAGCGCTTGTGTTTGTGGTTCCCACAGTTGGACAAATGGAGCTGCTGATCCGTCTAATCCTTCTGCTCAATTACAAAAACAGTGCATCAGATATAAACAGCACTTTGAATATATACTGTACAAATTGTTGCTGATTAAAAATTAGTAAAGAAAAAATGTCTCTGGAAGGACAAAACAAACTATTTGTTTTGAGTAAAGCATTTCTTCCAATATTTCATGTAAGGGTCCAGATTCAGTGGACATTTTCATCCAATAATATTAACCATCATTTTCTAAACTTTACTAAATGTTATATTACAAACACAAACTTTACTGTATTTTATTAGGATTTTATGAGACAGTAGGAAATAATATGACTTAATTAGTGGCATGCTCAGGAGGAACGCTGCAAATGGCAGACAGCGTGGAGGTGGAGGAGTTGAGGTATTGTCTGGTCAGACCGTCAATTCCTGAAGACACACACACACACACAATCGGATAAGCGCACATGGAATCAGTGTAGCACCGTAAAAAAGTTATGGGGTCCAAATGACCCCATCTCTTAAAATTGCGGGAGGGTTAAAAATATTTGCAAATCTAAAAAAATAGTATGGTTTTCACCTGTAAAAGGCCTTTATCAGATTCACCACACAGTTAAAATGGTTCAAGCCTTCATTTTGTGTAACTTTAAAGACTTACAGAAAATGAAATCCTTAAATCTAGTCCCTCAAAAAATTTGAATATTACAGAAGATCAATTAGAAAATTATATAAAATAAAATAAAAAATGCAAATTTTACTTTTATCTGAAAAAAGGACTTTGGACCACTGAGCAAGAGCAGAGTTTTTTCTCTCCCGAGCCCGGGTTCAACACGTCTGACGCACAGGAGTGGCTTCACATCAAGAATGACTCTTGATGAACCTCCGTTCTCCCCTTGAATGGATTTTGCTTGACAAGGCTGTCATCATCCCTGCTGCACCTTTTCCTTTCACCCAGATGAGACCAAAATATCACTTACTGCAAAATGCCTTTGGTGTTAAACCAAGAACATATGAAGAAAAAAAACATGAAAAAGTTCCACACTCCAAAACTGATCTGGAAGCGAAAATGAAAGAACATTTTGTTGGGAACCAAATTTACAAAAATATTAAAAAAACAAAGTTGTCAAAAAAATCCTCTAGGCGAGTGAAGCACTTACTGACTGCTATATTTCTTGATTTTGTTTTAGGATTTTCAAAATTGTTTTTTTTTTACAGAACAAAAGATATGTGTCCTTAAAAAATGGCCCAAGTTTTTTTTTTTTTTTTTTGTTGCCAAAAGTGATTAATGTTTTTGTATAAATGATCTTTTGGAGAAAAAAAAGATGATTTAAAAAAAAATAAAATAAAAAATTAAGCCATTATTTTAGAAAGGTGACAAAGTTAGTCATATCAATACATTTAGTGCACCATTTATTAAACTGCAATTATTTTTGCTTCCTTATTGCTTTTGTCAGGCTTCAAAATCAACCTAAACACCAGTTCAAACTTTACACCATCTTCAGAAAAAAACAAAAACGGAGATTGCTAAAATGAACTCGGGACAAAAATCAATCATTATGTGTCAAATATTTATTTCTTTAAAACGTTTATTACTGATTTAATTCATGTAGGGAAAACTGAATAGTACATCTTTATTTCTCCAGTGTACAGCGAACCACAGCTGACGAGTGTGTCGTTTCATGACCCCAGCACACGAGGCATGTGCAGCACATGCACGATTTGGTGCGCCAATCATGTGTGTATCTTTTATATTGAATATAAACACACATTTGTATATATACACTATACACCATGTGTGCACTACATACACACGGTAGAGAGAAATCAAAGTGTGGGCTTTCTGATACCTGTTGGTGTGAACCCACCAGAACCCGCTCAGAGTATTTCCTCCTCCTCCATCTCAGTAAAGCTCTCCCAATTAAAAAAAACAAAAAAAACAATAACAATAAATGTCAGTAATAGATGCTGATGGGAAAACATGAGTCAGGTCCAGATGCAGGGGATCCAGTGCTGCCGCTCGTTCTGCCATGTTGTCGCCATGGACACCGAAAACTGACTGCTAACACTTGAACAGGTTGAGGAGGAGGGAGGGGGGAAGGCTGGTGATGGAGATCAAAACATGACATTAGTCACTGTTGATGGCGAGAACACAGTCAGTTCTCGTTAGTTTTTACCAAAAGAAAAAAAAAATCTGTAAAACAAAGTTACATGTCCAAAAAAACAATAAAAAAAACTAAATAAAATTAAAACAGAACAGAAAGAAAACAACCCCAGTCCACAGTCCGGTCTGGAGGAGAGGACACAGCGATGGCGGGTTTCTTCTTGCAGATGGTGAGTCGGTCGCTGCGAGGTGCTGATATGTGGGCGATGAGGGAATACAAGGCTGGCGGCAGCAACACAGAAGAAGAAGAAGAAGAAGAACAAGAAGAACAGAGGGAGGGAGCATTTCCTGAGGACTCAACAGGGTCCCATCAGACGCCGATTCACCCTGTATCCTGGCCAGCCAACGGCCGCTATGGCAACAGTCCAATGAGAGACTCTGCCGAGCTAATATATTTATATAGATTTTCTTTGTTTTATAATATTGGCAGTATCTTTGTTTCTTTAAAAAAAAAAAAGGTTTAAAGCAAAACGGAAGGGGAAGTAAGACTGCAGTGAACAGTGCAATGGGAGCTCTGGGAGTGGTTCACCTGCTCTGCTGCACAGAGAAAATAAAACACAAAAACAATGGAAAACATGAGATCAGTTAACATTGGCTCAGCGCTACTGGAAGTTGGGTGATTAAGGAAGGGGAAGCTTGGCAAAATACAGAGAGAAAAGAAAAACATGAGAAAACACCAGTTCAGTCCTGTAGGTTAACTGCTAAACGTGCTAATCAACTTCATCGTTGGGCTCGTTTCCCCCGACAACGAAACTGAGAAGTTCATGATCTGTTGGCCATGCGGGCGGATGAAATGTACGCACTTTTAAACACATGAGGAGTTCTTTCTTTCGCAGCCATGCGCAAAGTCCTCGCTCCGCCCACGGGGAAGAGAAAAAAAAGAAGAAAAAAACTAATTAAATGAAAAAGTCTAAAGGAAACGAGTCCTCCCCCCCCTCAGGTTCAGAGCCGGCCTCGGCCCGGAGCGTCCTGTGTGCGGCGGAACGGGAAGGAGAGATGAGATACTGATAGGAGGGTAAGACGGGGGGCGGAGTACGTAGACGGAAATCTGAGCTTTGTGTCCGTCAGACGTCGGCTTCAGATTCTTCAACGAAAACGAGGAGCTCAGGTCAAACAGTGCTTATCTGATGCCTTCCAAATAAAACCTGATCTGACGTTTCATAAAAATCTGTACAAATTCTTTTTTTTTTTCTTTCCTTTTCTGTTTTTTTAAAGTCTTCATGATTAGTTTGTCCAAAGGGGACAATATTTCCATTTATTTTATTTTTTTTTTTGTTTCTTTTTTTAACTGTATATTCATTAAATCTTTATCTGCTCTTTAATTTAGATGCTCTGAGTCCCATGGTGTGGTGTGTGAGTGTGTGGAGAGGAGATGCCTCCGGCCGTTCACCGCTCGCTTTTGCTAGCAGCACTTTTTCTTCCGTTTACTGTTCCGGGTGAGTTTGACCACGTCGTTCTGTTGCTGCTGCTGCTGCTTGGCTAGAACCTCCTTCTTGGCTTTTAGCACCAGCTCTGTGATGCAGTTGAACATCTGCAAAGCAACAATATGACAATTACAAAGTGTTTGGAGGACTTTCTTTTATTTTTTCCATTTTGGAAAGAGGCTGATGCAACGCTGGATTTATTTTAAATTAATAAATTCCACGATCACAGTGATTAAAAGATCCCCACTTTTATTTTGTGCCCGTGCATAAATGTGAGTTTCTTGCAAATATTTTGCAAAAATGGTCAAAAACCTTGGGTTTCACTGAGTGCTACCTCCCACCTGCAGGTGGCAGTATTTCTTACTGCCTGACTTGGCATTAAGTTAAAAGTGTGACTTCTGGTGAGCATTCCAGTCGATTCTTCCAAACTTGGAAGTTTTAATTTCCCATTTCCAACCACAACTGGAACGCATCAACAGTGTGTGATCAATATGTAAATCAAAGTACGTCTGATCAGAGTAAATCAAACAACAAAAAAATAAAAGATTGAACTATTTTTAGTTTAAGGAATCAAAATGTTTGTATTTATGCTTGTCGTCTTTTTTTTCTGTAAAATTCCTTGCAAATATTTCTAATGTAGCAGCATAAAAGTCAGTGAGTTTGATAGTTTAAAAAAAAAAAAATCACAAAAACTTATGGAAGCCTGGAAGGCCTGATTAATACAACACAAAACATATAAAACAATGTTCAAACAGCAATTGGAATTTTATATGACAAACCAAAAACAAACAGAAGATTAACTATGAAGTGAAAGGAGGCTGTCTTGGGAAAACAGAGCGTCTTCAGTCAATATTTCTGAATTGAATTGTGAATGTGAAAATCATGCAAAAATATATATTTAACATATAAAGGAAGTAGCTATTTGCATTCAATCCCTTTACTCTGACACCCCTAAATACAAGGCAATGTAAGCTTCAGTAGTCATCTAATTGGTAAACAGAACAGAGATGTTCATCAGAAAAACACTCAATGAGCCATAAGCTTGGTGAATATAAAACATACATAGGTGTACAGTGTTGATGTTGGTCTGCTTTGACAGCCACAGATAGTGAGAAGCATGGCCTCTGTATTATAAACTAAAATATTAAAGCTGGAGTTGCACCGATTAGTTTTTTTTTAAAAAAAAGATTGATTACCGATCTTTTAAAAGGCTGAACTGTCCCGATTTTGGCTGATGTTTTTGTCGGAAAAGTTGCTAAATACAGTTGGCAACAGTGGAAAAACTGCTGAGACGAGATGAAAACAGTCCAGTCAAAGTCCAGGGCTAAATACAACTGACAATCGGACTATTGTATATAAGAAGGATGGAGAAAAATGCAAATGTTTAGATGTAAAACGATGGTAGATACTCTAAGGTGAAACTGAATCATGCCATGCCTTTTGGATTTTTATTTGTAAAAGACTTCGGAAATCAAAACACAGTTGTGAACTCCAGTAAAATGCATCGTTTCTGTCATAAGTGGGAGTACTTTTAGAAAATGACTCTGCACTTCGAGAAGAAGCTGCCTCACCTCTTCAACGTTGATATTTTCTTTCGCGCTCGTCTCAAACAGGCTGATTCCCATCTGTTCTGCAAACTTCTGCGCGTCGGTCGTCTCAACCACCTTCGAGCTGGGGTCGTCGTTCTTGTTTCCCACTGAAACGAGGAAACACATCACAGGTTCTGATCGTCTCTGCTTTCAGCTGGGTCTCCTTCGGCGGCGCGAGACCCACCTAATATTCGGCAGACGTCGTCGCAGTTCTGGTTGATTTCATGTAACCATCGTTTGACGTTGACGAAGGACTCGGCGCTCGTGACGTCGTAGACCACTATGACCCCGTGCGTTCCTCTGTAATATCTGGAGAAGGGAAAACAACATTTGTGTTGGCACCCGTTTGTCTTTGGAAGGTGTTGGACACATAAACGTGTGAGGCAATTAGTGATTCAGCAAATAGAATCAATACATAAAGACAAAACACAAATTAGAATGCTCCCCTGGCTAATTATAGGTTCACCAGTTGCAGTTTTCTAGCCAATCTGTAAGAAGCCTGACGTGCCAATTCCAATTTTAGCCAATACCAATTTATTTTGTCTGAAAAGTTGCTAAGTATAGCGACAACGGAGATAAGTTGGCAACAAAGGAGATACTATTGTTAACAGCACACATGCCGATTAATTCTGGTCTGCATCACCAGAAGACCTAAGAGGTTCTGGGAGATTGATACATCAGATCTCTAAAGTATTGTAATGCTGGGCGGTTCAGCAATTTATAAACTAAAGGAAGTATTCTAAAGTCTGAGGTACAGGGAGCCAATTGAAGGAAAAAATAAACCTTTCAGCCCCCAGACCTAAATCTTATAGAAATATTTAGTTGAGCAGATTTTATACCAGTGGTGCCAGTAGACAAAGCTGGCAGTCTTTTTTTTTTTCTTTTTTTTTTTTTTGTATTGTAGCTGGTGTCCAGAAGATGGGGACAAATCTCAATTTTGAATGTAATCAACCTGCAATTTCAATAAAAAGATTAAAAGGGCCAATACTTGTTAGCTAAGTGCAGCCTCAATAATTAGTTTGGTTATAAGTCCGATATTTAGGTGAAGTGTGGAGAGAGGGTGCATCAAACACACACAAAGAAGCTTTTGTCAGCCTTCCTGTTCGGTGGGACTGTATGGGGATTCTGCTTTGCTAGCCAATTTTGTCCCAAATGTCCAACAGTAAAAGGACAGCAGGTAGGTGGACACGCACACACACACATAGCCAGACTAAACCTTTTCTCCAGGAAAAAAACCCAAAACATTACACAAAGCTGAACCTCTTTATTCAATAACTTGTTACTTATAATCCTCAGAATATTTGTTAAATTTTTACATCTCAAAAAACATCAAAGTTGTAACTGTTCACTACTCGACTCCTCTGCAGGTTGTTCTTCCCGAGCGGTCCTAGCAGGTCATAACCCAACAATCCACATCCACAGCAAAATTCATTTAGGACGTAATGAGGTGCAACAAGTGCCGGTAACAATCAGCCTGAACAGGCATCATGTTCTGCACAGGGATTCCTGGAGGCCTGGTAAACTGGGACCGTAGTCCTCCTCAGGGGCTGAAACATCCACACCACCTCATGACTTTATTCCTTCAGGAAGAGTTGACTTCCTGCTCGTCCTCGCTGCAGTGGTCCATTTACGTCTTACTAGCTGGTTTGAGCTAACTGCAGCGTGTAAGAACCCGTCTGTCCCTGCTAAACTCACAAAGGGACAGGAAATCAGCTCTGGTTCAAGCTTGCAGTATAAGCGTGGTGGCTGTTGGATCACACTGACATCGCAAGTCATCGGCTCTAGAGTTGGAACAGTACAGAGACCACCTCCTTCTTGGTGCAGTTGTTTTGGCCTGTGTGATTCAATCACACAGCACAAGCTTGATTGACAGCACCAAGACCTTCTTCTGCAGCTTTAAGTGAAAACGCCTTAAGAATTGAGATTTTAAGTTACATTACTCCACTTAAATTGACTAGAAAACGGCCAGAAACCTCAGAGCAGTGCAAATCTTTGCTTTAACAAAAATATATTATGCCATTATAAAAACTCTTACAAATTCAGCAAGAGGTGTGGAGAGTGAAATAGTGGAAGCTGAAACCAGGAAAAACACTGTGAGGCATTCTCTAACCATGACAACACGAATGTGACAGAGCAGAAGTATAAAGCCTGTGATCCATGAAGATAAAATCTGACAGAGCCCGTTTTGCCTTCTGTGTGGTAAATTAACTGAACCTGGACACTGTTGACTAAATATATACACACAGACTCATCTGCAGGCCTGGTGTGTGTACATTCAAACCCTGACGCACAGATTTTAGGCAACCTGAAGCACTTCAACATGCATCATTTCCAGCAAAAACGATGCTGGAAACCTACAAGAATACGAAGATGACCCACTGAGTCACAGTGTGCACTTGCTCATTTGGTAGCAAGTCTTCAGCTGAAAGGTCTGCAGCCTGCTGAGACCTGATGAGGCCTGTGTACTAATGGGATGAATTCAAACAAAAATAACCCCCCCAAAAAATGCACTTCCTGGCATTACTTTCTCTACAGCCACGTCTTGTGTAGAGGCACTGATTCTGCATCCTTACACCAACATGAAGAACTTGTTTTTAACGCTCATCTGTTTAAATGTGACTTAGATGACTTTGTTCCACAACATCTTAAAGAGCAGTATTATGTAAAAAATTAACATTCTTGAGCATTACATTGTGTTATGTTATTCACTAATCTAAAACATACCTGGAGTGTTGCCTTCATTCTTTCATGCATGTTTGAGAAATCTTTTAATCTCCCATGGCAACCATTAAGCTGTGCTAAATGCCTGGGTGGATCTAGTTTCGCCTTCAAAGCGCTGCTCCTCCTTAGAGCTGCAGCTTTCAAGCTACTGAGTTTCCGCCTCGTAGAGCACCCTTCGCCCCACTCAGCTCCTTCAGACTAGCCAGCAGCAATTAGCAAACACCTGGTGGAACTGAGCATCAGCTGAGCTCATTACAGGAGTTACTTCTCAGTGCAACACTGGTAAAATGTTAATAGAGGAGTGATGTGATGACTTCCTGGGGGCGGAGTTTCAGAAAGAGCAGGAGCTTCTTAAAGAGACAGACCCAATTTCAAGGCATTAAATCACAAAGTCAAGTACGATATAAACAGCATTTTTATAACTAAAGTTAACAGTTACTTGACTGTGCTATAAAATGCAACTATAGTGCCCCTTTAATATAATACAAATCCATTATAGACTTTATGATCTTAAACTGACATGTAATATGTAGTGAATCAAAACCACAGGCTTTTATAGAGGTAGATAATAATACCATTAATTAAATATTTTCACCAAAGTCTGAACAGTGTTAAATAAATATTGCCCACACCTAGTGTCAACTTGTTTAAATTACAAAGTTCATAGTTTCAGTTTCATAGGAGACACAGGCTCTCTAACAAGAGACATTCAGGTAGGCAACAGCAACAGAACACTGAACACATTGTATAACGAGGAAAAGACGTCTACCATCGACATCATTACCTAGGGAACGTTAATCACTTGAGATGTTTTGGATGCTTTGCCTTCCTGAGCTCATTCTGCTGGACTGAGGAACTGATGGAGTCCTGCAGCAGTGTAGTCACTTGGGTTCAGTTTGTTGCCGGATTATTCAAATTAATGGAGAATGAAATCACTCTCAACACTGCAGCTCAAAGATGAACTGATGATTCATCTGGGGTGGATATTGGGGTGGGGGTGTAGTGACAGGAAAGTGTGATGTTCACTCCTAACTCACCCTTACTAACTTTAAAAACTAGATGTACTTATATAGGGCACAATTGTCTATAAACCATAGTTGTCCACGCTGCGCATATCTTGAGGTCATATCGTGTGGGCCACAACGATTTCATGTTTTCCTTAGAAACGTTCACACACCAGATATTGATACTAGAACTTTCACGATAACTAATTTTGCTGGATGATAAATTGTCCCAGAATTTACTGCGATAAACATTAATATTGTTGTTTTGAGACCATTTTCAAGTAACATAATGGTAATGGCATAATAATGGAAGAATATATTCGGTAACACTTTATTTGAAGGGGGTTGAATAAGACTGACATGACACTGCCAAGAACATGATTAAGCCTTCATGAATATTTATCACTGTTGTCATAAAGCATCATTCGGTAAATTATGACACTTTTAATACAAAGTTGACATTATTCAAAATGTCTTTGTTATGACAACTTTACATTAAACAAGAAATAATTACTGATATAAATTTGTTATAAAAGTATTACTGATTGCACTTTAAAAAATGGGTAACTTTATGTTATTAAAGGTAAAGTTTAAACAGTAATGATTTCCTGGTTAATGTCAAGTTGTCACAACAAAGACATTATGAATAATGTCAACTTTGTATTAAAAGTGTCATAATTTACCGAATGACGCTTTATGACAACAGTCATAAATATTCATGAAGACTTATTCATGTTCATGACAGTGCCATATCAGTCTTATTAAGCCACCTTCAAATAAATTGTTACCACATATTCTTCAAGGTCAATAAACTTTAAATTATAATGATCATTTAAATACTGGAACTGGAAAACATTTTAAATATCCAAAATAAATCAAAACAACAGAAGCAATAAAATGAATTATAAACTATCCATAAAGAACATTGTTCTTCTACTTCTTCAAAAAGGGGGGCAAAACACAAAACTGAGAATTTCTGTCATCCAGTTTTCAGTAGAAAGAGAGAAAAGAGAAAAACGATAAATCATGCAAAGGGAAATTATTGAGCTAGTTTAAACATATTAACTGATTTACTGCTTATTGCATCAGGCCTAATTGACACTCAGTTCTGATTTTTTGAATCGAGTATTGCCGTAATGATTTCAAGAAATCCATTTATTTTTTCTGTGTGGTAATTCATATTACGAATTAAATGCAAGTGCAATGAGATTTCTGCATGAATGGTTTACGATCCCAAAGCAACTCGCATGCGTCACAGCAGTGCTCCATTGGACGGAGCCGTTTCTGAAACGATTTTCAAGTTTATCCAGTAATAGGAACAGACAATATTGTCACAAAATCATAACATGCAGGAAGTTAACAAAACGAAAGCACAGCTAACGGCAACAGCATTTTGCGAAGCACTGACTGCAACTTCTGTAGAGAAGTCTGTCTCGTCAGGGCCAGGCTTTGCTTTAACTATCGTTTTTATGATCAGTATATGAAATTAAAAAAAAAAAAACCCTGCTGTTTTATCTACCCTTACATCACTGGGATGCATCTGATTCTCATTCACAACATGTTGCAAAATGTTTTAGTTGGGACAAATGATGCAGCATAGATTAAAGGTGAACCCCAAGAATAAACTGTTGTCCTTTATAATGTAGTTGCTGCTTCTGACTGATCTGAACGCTGTTAGGTGAGCAGTGATGTTTCACAGCGGCTAATTGGAAGATAAAACAAAACCTGACAAACAGTCGAGTTTTAAAGTGTCCAAGCGGTTAGAAATCAGAGCGAGCCCCAAGGCATACGGACCAAAAAGTGTAAGTACAGCTGTTGCCATTGCACAGCGAGGAACCTCCCTCTTCCATCTGTAATTAGGATCTGTGGGGGAATCCCACCCAGTTTCACGGCGAAGCACAAACTCACTGTCGCTGCCTGCCAGCTGCTCCCCTCATATAATATCTCATTTGACGACCACAGAGCGCCTCCCGAGGCTTCGATCGGCAGCGTGGAGTGGCGGCTCTACTCACGTGGAGGTGATGGTGCGAAAGCGTTCCTGGCCCGCCGTGTCCCAGATCTGCAGCTTCACCTTCTCGCCGTTGATCTCCACCGTCCGGATCTTGAAGTCCACGCCTATCGTGGTGATGTAGCTACCTGTGAGCAGCAGATGGAGACGGATGTAGAAAGCGGCATGTGCAGATGTGGAGGAATGTTGTTAAAGTATTCGTACCCTGTGACGTTTTCAACATTTTGTCACATTGCAGCCGCAAGCGTCACTGTTTTTATGGAGGATATGGGGTTTGGAGTTTTGTAACAGTTAAATATGTAAAACTGTGACATGCATTTCTACTCAACCCCCTACTTTCTACTCAAGATTCTAGATCAGGTATCTATGACAATCTGCCCTATCCATAAGGGCAGATCTATTCAGTCTAATTACATTTTTTATGCTCTGAGCGACATCATGCTTTATTATTTATTTTACGTTATATTTAGAATTCCTAATTGTACTTTCTAACCATTTGAAAGAAGATTTGTTGAGGTTTATTTTTACATGTTTGACCAAAGTAGTCATCCTGTTTTTGTTTCTTTTACTTATTTTACGTTGGCTGTTGTTCTAATTCCACTGACTGAACAAATTAAAGTGTTTTTACATTTTGTGACACTATAGTTAAATGTTCTGTACTGGTGCAGCGTTAGCAAATATAATTATAATTCAGTACATTTACCGGTTTGTCTGTATAAAAAGGATAAAAAGTTTTAAGTAAATTCAGCATTGTTAGTCTCTATGGGATGATTATCGGCCAGAACTGACCCTCAGGTGTCAGTGTTGGCATCGGTCATGAACAAGTTAATCGGTGCGTCCTCAGTATTTACTATGACTTTTGGACATCAGGAGACTGAAAATGTTCTCCGTCCGTCTTTATGAAACAGCTCAATCTTAGCCAGACTAGACAGAAAGCATTTTTAGACTCTGTCCTAAACTTTGACTTGGCCGTTCTAACCCATGAATACGGTTTGATATAAACCATTCAACTGCAGCGCTGGCTGTGTGTTCAGGATCCACGTCCAACAGAAAGGTAAACATCTGCCTCCTTTTCAAGCCTTTGCTCCAGCATCGGTCTGTATTTAACTCCATCCATCATCCCATCAAATTTGCCCAGCTTCCCCAAAGCATGACTCTGCCACCACTGTGTTTCCATGTGGGGAAGGCACTTTCAAGGTCAGGAAGGTCAGGAAGCACAAACTCACTGTCGCTGCCTGTGACAGTGAGTTTGAAACAGTGACAGTGTTTCACTGTCACTCATTTTCAAGATTGAGAATGTTTTAAAAAGGCCAGTTGTGGCCAAATATATTGATAAAACTACTTAAACTGCTAAAATATTAACAAATAGCTGATTCTATACGATATGAAAACCTCTTACAGTTATATATTGAACATCTTTTCAGCTTCATGTAATTTGGCAGAATGCAGATAAAACTGCAGTGATTTGATGGATTAAAAATAATATTATGATATATTATGATAAATAGATGGGTATTAGCAGCTACAAGTGTTTGTTTTTCATGGAATGGCAGCACTGAATCTCCACAGCAAAATGCCACTAAATTTAGCAGTAATATTGTTTTAGAACAAATTTTCCACAAACATCAAGACCCCATAGAAGAAAATGTATGCATCTTCTTTTTTGCAAAGCTTTTGTTTTTAATTTACTTTAAAACCTAAAACCAGAAATTAAACTGTGTTTTATTTATTTATTTATATTTTTACATGACAAATTGCTTTAAAATCACTCAACAATCATGTCCTTTTTTTCCAAACATTTACGGCTCTAAACGAGTTTCACTTCACTGGACAGAGGACCAGCTATGGTTTGCCATATAAAACTCTCCAAAGGATCCTCTGTGGTTTGTGGCTGTGATGTGACAATTTGTTAAGGCGAGGTGTGAGGCAAAGGTGAAGCCACAAACCTGAAAATGTGTTGTCTGCGAAGCGCAAAAGGAGACTGCTCTTTCCCACTCCTGAAAAGGAAACAAAACACAGGAAAAGGTTTAGAGCGCAGCAGGTTCCTAAAGCCTCCCGTCCTCGTCTCAGATGGTTTTGTAAGACCTACGGGTGTAACTCAAGAGTTTAACGTGGGTTCGTATCGTAGACATCATATGATGACGACAGCAGCAGTTGGTGTAACCTTTGTGTACCGACTTTAAAGTCAACTTATGCAGACACCTCATGAGCTCAATTAGATTTATAGCTAAAGTGTAACAAACTAAAGCACCTAAAAGGAGCAGAGAAACTATGTACATCACAAGTTAAAGAAAACAAAAAGGAGGACAGCAATGTTTACAGTGGGATCACTGCTTTGTCCTCAACAGATCACCTTTCTGCTTCAGGCCCTCCTGTCCTGCCCGTTCCTTTGTGTCGTTGCAGGCAGCTAATATTTGATTGGTCACAGGCTCTTGTGATCTCTATGGTGCAGAGTTTTGTTCAGGCTAACAATAGAAAAAGCTTCAAAGGAGAGTTTTCAGAAAACATCGTGGCTTCCAGCTGCCTGACTAAAAAAAAAAGAAGAAAGGAATAAATCACTTTCTCTGACTAGAATAAGCTCCACTGTCAGGAGTTATCGCAGGTATACAATGAAATATTTGCCACAATTTCATGGAATATGAATGAGGTCACGTCAAGCTGCACTGCAGGGTGAGAATCTCATCTCACTACAGCCATCAGCATCTACAACTAGAGGACATCTGTACAGTATGATTTACAACATTTAGCTTCCCTTTGGGAGATTAAAGTATTTTTGGATTGAACTGATTTCAGTAACCTTGGTTAAAAACTCCCAAGGTTTCACTACCACGGCGATTACAAGCTGCAGTTTTCAAACTGTGTGACTTTAACAGTGGCAAGTGGTAAACGTTTTGTTTTCACACCACGAATGTTATTTTATTTTTGTGATCAGAAATATTTTCAAAAAGAATTTTCTCTTCTGCAAGTATGAGGGGAAATATAGGAGTCGTCTTTCATCCAGCTGACCGGTGGCATGGAGGAATGGCACCGTTGGGTTACTCCATAAAACTCTGGTCACGTTAACCTGATGTTGAATTAAAATTACTGTAGTAAGCCATAGGAATAGCACAACTGAATATTTAAAATATCTTAAAAACCATGGAGGTCGGTGGAGATCCACTAATCAGAACTTTTATGGCCAATGCTGATTTACAGCTCTGCTTAAAATCTGAGCAAAATTAAGCAGATGAATAGGGGGACAGAAAATACACACTTTTCAGTGTTTTACTTTCTGTTCAGAAAGAGATTCATTAGTACATTATTACCACCAGTCCCTGCACAAGCTTTATTAGCCAAAATGTAACAGGTGACTGTTGACCGCTTGAAGTACAATTGTATTTTCCTGCCGCTCAACCATTCTTTTCAAAAATAAGCTGTGCTAAACAGCAGACAGTTGCAGCACAGCTGAAGAGACACTGGAGCCTGTGTGAGAGATGTGCCTTGTTCTCCACTGTGGCCGGCCAGCTGATGGGTTAGTTGTGCCAGGATTTGGAACTGTCAGTGAAAGCAAAGATTATTGACCCCCCCAACCTCAAACAAAATCAGACCCCCAGCAGGATGAGACGTTGCTTCTAAAGAGGGTGGAGTTGAATTACAAAAGTGCCAGTGGAGTAGCTCCAACCACCCCAGTACAGCTTTTAGCTGTGACTGGGAATTTCTCTTGCCTGGGTTGGGAGTACATATGACAGCATGCGGCTGATTGCTCTTAATACTTTGTGTTGATACTGCCCACTTTGTTATTTTCACTTCAGTTTGGGCAGCTGCAGCGATTAACTCTTCCACAATCAGAGTTCAGACTTCCATGCTAACCAGGTACCTAAACTGAATCACTACGACAGCTCCCCGCCACTTAGTCAACATTAAGCACTTAGAATATAAATAACCTATTGAGTCAATAAGTTAACACCAACAACATAAATTAAAATGTTTAGAAATAGTTATTTACATTGCCAAGCATGAAACAGAGATGCTAGCTTAGCTTCAGCTAACAGATACAACCAAGAGGCCAAATGAGACTGACATAAGACAGGGGACCTGGGGGCAGATACTATTTAGGTCAAAGTGAGGCTATTGCTATGGAGATACAATAAATGCCCCACTAACTACCGAACAACACCCGAAACGTTCGTGAGACAACCTCAGAAGATGTGGAGGCGGTATCCGGCCTGACATGCCCAGTCCGGACACACAACCTCCGCCCTGTCACTGGCACAGAAACATGGCGGATGTGTACATTTCCCTCATTATTTTCGCTCAAAGGCATAAAATGACACACGGTAAACGCATTCAGACAATGTGCTGTGGCGCAACGCTGTATTTCTCCCTCTCTTCTGATAAAAAATAATAATAATATATATATATAATAAAAAATTCGACAAGGCCCACTTCCCGTCCCGCATCCCCGGCGTCTGCTTACCGCTGTCACCGATGATGAGCAGCTTGAAGAGGTAATCGTAGTCCCTAGCCATGCCGGTAGCTGGTAGCTAACCTCCGCCTTGTGCAGCTTCTTCGCTTGGCTTGTTGCTCAGGTCCCCCCTGTCCCGTAGAAAATGTATCTGCCCCCAGGTCCCCTGATAAGAAAAAAATAATAACAACCGAAGCTTGAAACTACTAGCCCCCCGAGCCGGTGGCGTTTTTCTCGGGGTTTCGCGGCGTCAGCAATCCTCCTGCTCCGCTGCAAACAGCCGGAAACTCTGCTTCCTTCTCTAGCGGAGCTGCACCCAAGTGTGACCCGGCCTCACTGCGCAGACTCCAGCTATAGCACGCATAGGACAAAACAAGATGTGGAGCATCTAAATCAGTGAAAGGCTGAACTATTTTTTATCGTTTATTCTAATTTTTTATTATTAACAATAATAATAATAATAAAAAAATAATAAATATTTTACTAAATTTTGTTTGTTTTATACTAACACTAAATTTTTGTTAGTATAAAACAAACAACACACACACAAAATAAATAAATCAACGAAATTTAGTGAGAACTTTATGCTTCATTAATCCAGTCATAATAAAAATATAACTAAAGAATTAACTTTGTTCTTTTGTCACTTTTCTTTTGTAACAAAACAATGTCTGCTTCTGTTGTGGAAAAACTTGAGATGTCATTTTGGTAAACTTGATATTAGAGTGGTACTTCTTTAAAAAGTCTGACAACCACTAATATTGCTATTTATGTCACCAGTTAGTTTATTTTAGTTATCTCATCTGCAACATATTCTTCAATTTTATCTGGAATACATCAACTGCAGTGTTTGATAGTTCTGCAATAGATTGCAAATTTAGACTGGGACATGACCAAAAGTTTTCATTGAAGTTATTCCAGCTAATGCGGGAAATACTGTGCATCAGGAAGTAAGGTGTCCTATTGTTTCAGAAAGCACTTGTTTAATGATCAAATTTGAATGTTTTGTTTTTGCTTGTAATTAGTAGGGCACTATTATGCAAAACTGACTTTTTTTTTAGCTTTATATCATGTTATTCCCTCATCAGACACAGCTGGGATGTTGCTTTGATTCTTTCATGTATGTTTGAGAAGGCAGTCATTCTAGCTACCTAAATGCTCAGCTCCTTCAGACTAGTGGCAGCAGCAAATAGCAAACACCTGGTGGAACTGCACATCTGCCAAGCTTATGATGTGATGACTTCCTGAAGGCGGAGTTTCAGAAAAAGCAGAAGCTTCTTAAGGAGACAGAGGTCCAATTTTAAGGCGTTAATTTGCAAAGTCAAATTTCTTTTAAGTCATGTTTGAAAGATATGGCATTTTGTAACAACTGTATGTGTTTTTTGGGCACATTGTAGTTGGGCACCAGACCTTCTGTAACCCTGCAGTATAAACTAATGTAGACATTGTATGTAGTGAAAACAATGCTCACACATATGGACAGAAATACAAGTTCTAAATGACCTCAGACAGAAATGAGCTTCTTGATATCACATTATGAAATCAGTTTTTATTCTGTTTTGCCTTTTTACAACAGTATCACTGATAAGAATGATTTGTCTCGTAAGCGATTGCTTCCCCCCAAACATCTCTCACATGCCAAGTCCAAATAAAATTAACGACAAAGTTGGCTTTCTTTACATTCACATCTGAAATGTTTCAAATCAGTTTGGTAAAAGTAGTAGCAGAACACTGGAGTATCAAAACAGATTTGGCATTGCGTTTTTCCAACATGTTTGGTACATAATAATCTGTTTGGTACAAGATAAAAGAAACGGGTAAGAAATTGGGCTGAAAAGCCGCTAAAAGAACGGGGTAAAGTGAGAGAAAGCAAAAAAATATTTGGGGGCGGTGGGGTTTGAGAAAGTTGAGAGATCGGTCACATCTCCACCCGTCTCCACTTTCTCCCACGCTGGTTCAATCTGAGCATGTGTGTCGAGTGTCTGGGGTTCTCATACACTCAGGATCTGTTCACTGTGTCAGTCAGACATTTTATCATCAAGTCCTGCTCCATCATGTTAGGATGGTGTCGTCGATCTCCTCGTTGGAGTCTGGCAGGCTGGCAATTTTCTTCAGTGAGCGGCGGTGACACTCTGACAGGAGTTCGTTACTCGCAGAGTCCAGAATGGCAGTAATACTCTGGTGAACAGGAAAGATGAAAAGGGTTACAGTTAATTTGAGACGCTTAGTTGCGTTTCCATTACCAGTACGAACAAAACAAAGGGTCAAAATTCAGTTAATGACAAAAAAATATATAATTCTGCAATTGCTGTGTTTTCATTAAATAAGAAACACAAATAAAATCACTCATGAATAAGTTTGTTCATGTGACAGGTCATTAGAAACATACAGCGACATCAACCTCCTACTACGTCCTGTCATTTTGTCAATCTTTATCACCATTAGTAATTAGAAAGGGACTTTGTACAGCTCAAGCTAAGAGGTGGGTCTTAGCGCAGTCAATCATCTCTCTGTATGGCACTTGCTCTCTGGAACACTGCAGCTAGCATAGCCTGTCATGAATACTCAGGCTAGCTACCACAGCCACTGATGACCACAGATAAACAGTTTTCCAGTAACTGTAGGTCGTTTCTCCACCATTAGCACATTTAGCAGCGAGAACACGAGGCTGATCGACAGCGCTAAGACCCTCCCCCTGGCTCTGATTGGTTGTTTTTGTTTGGGAGCGGTGCATTTCTTCAATAGCACCTCAGGGAGGACAATACTTATCACTTAAACTCTTACTGTATTTTCATAATTCTAATATACGTGCCTATATGGTCAATGGAAATGCAGCTACTGGCTTTACAGCAGGAATATCATTTATGAGTGATTAGCAGTAGTAAACTGGGAGACCCACCTGCATGGTTTCCTCTCCTTGGCGGAGCCGCAGCAGGTTGACGATGGTGTGTTCGCTCTGGGCTCGGACCGTGGTGTTCTTGTCCTTGGTGTTGTCCAGCAGGCTCTTCAGCAGGGGCTTCATCAGGCTAGGCTCCATGGCGGGAGTAGCTGGCTCTCTGAACACCCACCACAGGACTCGCTCCGACACCAGCCTGATGTCACTGGACTGGTTCTGAAGACACTGTGGGGGTCACACGGTCAAAACACATCACAAAAAAATACCTAATACAAAACTCATATGTGATCTGATGTTCAAACTGACTGCATTAGAAAAAGTTACAGCTGACATCAGTGCATGAGGCGCTCTGGCAATAATTTCAGTTTCCATCAAACTGGTGAACAAGCTCCAGTTAAACCCCAGAAATAAATCCTGTGATTTATCCTTTCAGATCCCTTCAGTTCAACTAAATAAACTTGTACATTGAACAGGCAACAAAACACCAAAGCTGTTTATTTAACATTCACTGATTCATAACTAAAAGGAAATTCATTTAAACTAATTGTAATGTCACAAATCAACTGTTTCCCCACAGACAACCTCTGCTGAATCATTTCTCAGCGCTGTGATTTACAGTCACAAAGCACACAGACCAGATCGTTTCTGTTCACCAACTTCTCCCTTTTTCCTCACCTGCAGGAATTAAAAAAGGAAGTGACTACCAGCTGGACGTGAAGAGTTCCCTTTGTCTCACCTTAACCAACTGAGTGATGATGCGCTGTGAAACGCCACTGCCTCCCTCCGTCCTGAGATGATGCCTCATCAGGAACCCCAAGGCTCTGATCCCACTGGTCGCAATGGGGATCTGCAGGCGGAATTGCATCGGTTACAGAAACCCATAAAGGTTAATATTAGAATTTGCTAAAATGCTTAAATCTTTAGAGGATAATATATAGTGTTGCAGTGTGACGTCACACGTACAAATCCCTCAGAGTATCACATTTCACATGGCAAAAAAAAGTTTTCATTAAAAAAAAAAAAAAAAAAAAACGGGGGAAGAGGGAAGTAGTTTAGCTATGCTAGCTTGACTATGACAACCTCAACATGTAGATGTGCTGTGGAATTCGGTGTGTTTCAGTTCAGTTAAAAAGAAAAAGACGACCCACACACCAACTCTCTGACAGAGTATCAGTAGACCATGTGCTTATATGAGCTAATCATCCTCTGCTGTGTTCAGGCGATCACTTCTTAATGATCTCAATATAAACATGAAGCATGAAAACATGGTGCTGTGACAGACTGAATGCTCAGTTCTCTGTGTGGGAAATGAATGTGTGTTTTTTGGTATTGAATCTTTGATACACTAGTGGAGCTGTTGTCAGTCAGTTGCTATGGCAACTGGTCAGCGTGACAGACAAGAGAGAAGAATGCGAGTGGTTTTGAGTTGTTCTTGTACATTTTTTCTGCCTTTTTTCCCCTTTGGACTGGTGCACTGTACTAAATTAATAATATCTACACTTCCTTGTTTCATTCTATTAAGCGGAGTTGCTCTACTGCAGCAACGCTGCTATCGATGGAATTGAAAAGAATAGTCTTTTTGCCCTCCTACAAGGTGCGCATGCGCAAAGATTTCCGTATCTAAACAATAACATGCGACAAATCTATGTTGAAGCTGTGCGTCGACTTCGGACCTGTTGACGCTCACCCTATCAGCAGTAGCGTTAGCTAAAATCATCTCGGTCACGGTATCGCAGTAATCCTTCCCACACAGCTTCTCAGGAGCCGACTTCACCGCTATGGCTAGGGCCAGGCTGCGGCCGTGACGCACCATCCAGTCCACACCGGACACGTCCGCTGCAGGGAGGCAGAAAAATGTTAGCTCTGTTCTGTTTACACACACACGCATGCATGCACGCACGCACGCAGCAGCAGCCAAGCTGCCTTGGGCAACATGGATACCATAGAAACATAATCTTGAGTAATTACACTTAATAAAAGGAAATTAAATGACTTTTATTCTTTGCGTATGGTAACATATGAAAACTTTCTAAATATAATGTCTTCCAAAGGAATCTGTTGATTAGCCATTGGTGCTGGTGGCAGCATCAGAGTTGATGGGGAGAGCGGGTGGAGCTAAAAACAAGCCAAACATGGAAGAAAACTGCAGGACAGCAATTCTAAATATACAGTCAGATCTACAATGGGAGGCATTGATTAAAGTATATTTATCCATATTTATATATTAGAATGTCCCTGTCAAAGTCCAGAAATCAATGTGTGATAGGTCTTACAAAATGATGTAAACATGTGCTTCCCACTGACTGAGAAAACATTTCTGATTTGCAAAACAAACAAACATTCCCAAAGTAGATTCTGAAAATCGTTAACTTGGTACACCTGAACACAAACGCACACCGCACTTTTCAGATTTTTACTTGTAAAAAGGGTTAGAACTCATCTTCAAGTTCACC